AAACCAACCATATATTATACATCAATTTTGGTTGAGTATTTTACCTCCAATCGCCGTTTTTGTGCGGAATGACCCTATGTCGCTTCAAACTCGATATCTCTCTCGTTTCTTGATGAAATCTCGAAATTCCAAAAACATTTACTCCCTTACACCCTTATGAACGTCTCCACAAAATTTCAGCCGAAAACTCCAATTTATAGTGTGTCAAACGGTCTCTAGAATAGGAAAAACGTGATTTGGGGAATGATTTCCCAAATTTCAATCATTTCCAAATTAGTTTTCTACTTTTGGCAAAACTAGTCCCTTTTGTTTTTCTTTCTGCACTTTCATCCCAAATCAATTAAATACAAAATGTTTCATTTCTCTTTTTTTTTAATGATTTTATTTATTGCAATAAAATCATATTTTTCGAGTATCGACACTTTAATCCCGTATGTCGTTTACTCTTTAAATTTTAACCCTTAACATTTATTTATTTTACGAATCATAAATTTTTAGGGTGTTACAATTTGTATTGATCTTCTCTATCAATATATATTTTAAATTTGAAAATATTATGTTTGTATTCATGTCCCCCCTCTACAAACTGTTTCTCTTCTTGTAGACCCTCACGGGACCAACAAATACCTTTCACGTGATGTTCCTCTTGATAACGCCACAAAAAGTTGTCTGTGAGAGAATACTGATTCTGGTAGATACACACCTACATTAGGAATGGTCTATCCTTGAGCTTTATTGATTGTCATAGAAAAGCTAAGTCGGACTGGAAACTGTTTTCTCTTCAATTTGGAGGGGAACATGTTATCTTCAGATGAACAAAGAGGAATTCTCGGCAAAAATATTCTCTTTCCAGCATGCTAACCAACAGCTATTTCTGCATCGATTACGTTCTGTTAAAAACCTCTATATATATCAATATGGTGCCATTACATAAGCCATTAGAGATATCGATATTCCGCAATAGTATTATTGGGCATCCAATTTTGAGCCGGAGGTAATGCGGGGGCAAACCACTGACAGTCAGCGAGCTTAAGAACTCCATCAGATAGAAGTTATTTTGTCATCTTCTGCTTCATCGAAACTGTAGTAAACTTTTTCATCGCCGCAGAATCTATCAATCAACTGATCATTAATCTCATCGACATTCTCATTTTTTGTTGATAATATATCCCTCGAAATAATATAGTTTGAATATTCTCTGTTGATTTGCAGAGATGGAAATATTGCGTCAATCAAATGCAAATTCTACCATTTATACAAACTTTGCAAACATAACTAGACCAATCAAAATGTGTCAACGAACTTTTTTTTTTTTGGGTTTTTCGTCTTTTTCTCATTTTGATCTATTTATGGTTATAAACTATTTATTATACCACCTGGTTTTTGGAGATATTCATCACGGTTTTGGTAACTTTTAAAACATGATTTAGTTTTTTTTTATTATCTGAACTTCGACGAACCTTGAAGATTTGAAGACACGAAATATGAACCTTTAACACGAAACACAAATCATTAAACGTTAAACGTGAAACAAAAAACACGAATAATTAAACATTAAACGTGAAACATGAAACACAAAAGATATGAATCATGGAACCGGAAAAAATCTGAAATATATTAATAAAAATAAATATTTAAATTGTAGCAAAAAATCGCATATCATTAATTATTATCGAAAATAAAAAATTAAGCTGAAAATGTAAAATAAATATTTAAAAATATCTTTTGACCATTTCTAATTTAAGTAGGATCTATTAATAGTTTTCTTTTCTGCCACATCAATTGTCAACCATTCATCAAAAAAATCAATGGTGGGTCGACATAAGGTTGAAAAGTTTGTAGCAATGGTATAATTTGCAAATGAAGTCACCTTCATATGTGTGTATAATATATATATATATATATATATATATATATATATATATATATATATATATTAGGTTTACTTTATAAACCACGTTATTTGTATAAACCGTACAAACCTCATTCAATTTATCATAATTTTTTATTTTGTTATTTTTTTGTAATTATGAGAGGTTGATTAATCATTTTTTTTTGTGCAGGGTGTTAATCATAGATATTACCATCTTCATTATTTTAATTTTAAATAAATACATGAAACAGTTTCATTAAAATTTCATTGAGTATTATATGAAACAATTTTATAATCATATAGGAAACAATTTTTAATCAAAAAAAATATTATATGAAACAATTTCACAAGATTAAAAAATTTAATGGAAAATTTTCATAAGATTAAACAATGAAATCGACGGATAAGGTGGTTTGCACAGTTTGTACAAATTGGGTGTTTTGTATTTGATCGTTCATCTCTCTCTCTCTCTCTCTCTCTCTCTCTCTCTCTATATATATATATATATAGAGAGAGAGAGAGAGGGGGGGGGATCAGGGAAGAACATGGTCAACTTAGGAGTTATTTGTTTACCTCTTAATAGTTTCATTAAAAATCAGCTTCTGAATCGTTAAGAGGTGAATCTTGTTAGGCAAAAAACAAAATCTGTCTATTAATGGTTCTAAAATCATCTGAATAATTTTGTATAATGGGCATCTCTTAATCATTTAGCGCCCTAATTTCGTTGTAAATAATTACCAAACAATTATATATCGTTTTGCACTATATCATGAGAGTCTTTTAATCATTCTGACTACTTAATCATTCTACATCAAACCATTCAACAACTGTCAAATAACCCTTATTTTATCCTTACACCTCATTTAATCTTGTATTTATGTGCAATCAATGTCATTTTAGTAGACCTCCTCATGTCTAAATCTCGTTGCAATCTTTTATTTCGAAACCCTTTGATATAAAATAATAATAATAATAATAATAATAATAATAATAATAATAATAATAATAATAATAAAAGAAAATTACATTAAATGGAACCAACTTTTATCTGATTCCTATTTTGGGGAACCAACTTTCAAAATCGTCATTTTGGGGAATCAACTTGCACCTGATTCCTATTTTGGGGAACCAACTTGCACATGATTCCTATTTTGAGAACCAACTTGCAAAATAATTATAGAAAAATAACTAAAATTCGTTTTTTTTCAAAAATTAATGCAATAAAACTATTTTTCATTTCAAATCTCGTTTTTTTTTTAATTCAGATATCAAATTGAAGATTTTGTTTTTAAAAATCCAAATTGTCACAATAAATTTTTTCTTCAATGTGATTTTTAATAGATTATAAAAATCTTAAATGTGATATTGAATAGATATAAAAATCTTGAATGTGATATTTAATATTATTTTTTTATTGCATCAATTAATTTTTTCTATTAAATTGATTTTTTTTTTGTATTAGTAAAAAACAATTTTTATTGTGGTAATTTGGATTTTTTTTTTTTTTAAATCTTCAATTTGTTAACTGCATTTTTAAAAAACGAGATTTGAAATGAAAAATAGATTTTATTGCATTAATTTTTGGAAAAAAAAATTGTAATTTTTCTAAAATTATTTTGCAAGTTGGTTCCCCAAAATAGAAATCAGATGCAAGTTGGTTCCCAAAATAGAAATCAGATGCAAGTTGGTTCCCCAAAATGACGATTTTGAAAGTTGGTTCTCCAAAATAGGAATCAAGTGCAAGTTAGTTCTCCAAAATGACGATTTTGAAAGTCAGTTCCCCAAAATAGGAATCAGGTGAAAGTTGGTTTCATTTTAGTGCAATTTTCCTTAATAATAATAATAATAATTATTATTATTATTATTATTATTATAATAAAATTTTACTCTAAAAACAAACAATGGGAGACTTTGGAGGAGACTTTCACCCTATAAAATATAAATTATTATCCCTCTTTCACCTTCAAACAAAATGAAAACAACCCTCTTGTTCACCGGAATATTCCTCGCCGGAATCCTCCTCCTGCAGCCGGTTACATCCCAGAATTGTAACTGTGCTCAGAACTTGTGTTGTAGCAAGTATGGTTACTGTGGCACCGGAGACGCTTATTGCGGAAACGGTTGTCAAGGTGGCCCGTGTTTTCAACCTCCTCCTACAAATAATGCCGACATCCCCGGTATAGTGTCGCCGGCATTTTTTAACGGGATTGTTGCCAAAGCTACAGGCAACTGTCTGGGGAGAGGTTTTTACACACGGGACGCGTTTCTTAATGCCGTCAAAAGCTACCCACGTTTCGGTACATCAGGTTCGGTTGCGGATTCGAAACGTGAAATCGCTGCTTTCTTTGCTCACGTTACTCACGAGACCGGATGTAAGTATGTTACTAACGTTTTCTTTTAATAACCAAACATGTTTAAAACACGGGTAATTTTTAACCTGTAACTGCTAGATCTTATAGTTATTAGATACTATAGCTATTGACGACGTGGATGTCCAGTTGTAAAATTATATTCTGACTTTTAGTTACGTGTAAAAATGTCACATTAAAATTAACCGACGTCACATATGAATTATTTAATAGAAAATTAGAGAAAAGAAACTAATGGGCCGTTTACTAAACGCTTATCTGGTAAGTGCTTACCGGGCAATTTTCCTCACCGGATGAACATGGCAAGGGCCAAAAATCTTATCCGGTAAGAACGATGATAAGGATGGAGAGTCTTACCCGGTAAGTAAGAGTGACGACTTTTATCCGGATAAGCGTTTACCGGCTAATTGTTGCATAGGATACACCGTTTTAATGTACTGCAATCTTATCCGATAAAATAAATTATAGTGTTGACTCTTGCTGGTAAATACTTACCGGATAAGCATTTGGGTAAATGGACCCTAATTGTTACACTCAAAATATATATAAATTAATATTAACTTTGTTAACTTTTTAATGTATTTTACCCATAAAAGATGTAGCCAATTTTGACTTTTCGTATATGGAACCACAGTCTTTTGTTACAGAGAAGAAATAGATCGTTCAAACAAGTACTGCGATCAGACCAACAACCAATATCCATGCAACCCTAGCAAGAGTTATCACGGGAGAGGTCCGCTGCAAATCACATGGAACTACAATTACGGTCCAGCCGGGCAGAGCCTTGGGTTTGATGGACTCAACGACCCCGAGATCGTGGCTAGAGATCCTGTGATTTCATTCAAGACCGCTTTGTGGTTCTGGATGAACAGGGTTCATCAAGATTTTGCTTCTGGTAAAGGGTTTGGAGCTACAATCCGAGTTGTCAATGGGATGGAATGCAACGGTGGGAACCCCAGCACCGTGAACGCTCGTGTCAGGTATTACACCGATTACTGCAATCAATTTGGTGTCGAAACTGGCCCTAACCTTAGGTGCTAGACTTCGGTCATGTTACCATGTGTAAACCTACACCGGCTTGGCTTATACGGTTTTTCATCAGTGAAAACCGACACCAATCTGGCTAATACAGTATGTTTTCAATTTTTGTAGTATGTGAAAATAGACGTTCTCTTTCACTTTCGTATTTCAGTCTGTTGAAATAAAGACTGTAATAATAAAAAAGCACTGCTTAACGTGGTTGATCCTTGTAAAATAAAAATGTTGCATAATTGGTCCTTATATGTGTCATCAATAAATTACAAGCCATTTTCAATAAACCCACATAGCCATATGAACTAGTTGGACCAAAGATGTCAAATATCACAGTTACTAAAAAAGAAATTATATTGATTATATATGAAAATAAGCATATACGTATTACATACAATTCCATACTTGTAGCCATAAAACAACTGCAAATAAACAACTGTTTTGCTCCTTTTGATAGAAGACAGGTCTGTATAGATCCCACCACTAGACCCCACGTCCCCACCTCCACATGGGATATGCTGGGCTTGTGGCTATAACACTAGTTCAAAGGCAGAAGAAATAACTTGCATTACCTTTCACAAAAGTTGAGCCTCAATCATGCTGGCCCTTAACAAGAACAAACCAAATGACCTAGAACCCATGTAGCCAGCGGTTATCTGGGTTTGACGGTGCTTCAAGGTTGCCGTTGAAACTCATAAGCTCGCAAATTGGAACTGGTTCATTTGCCTTCACAAAGTCGTTAGTATACCGTTAAATTGGTAATGTAGGTGCGTAGAAGATGATTCTATTCGCTCCATGCATCTCGTTTAACCCTCACTCGTTCCCCCTCAAAATGGATGTATTTCCATTTACTTAGGTACTTCTTAAGGACTAGTTGTTGTTTCTCCTTTTCACCTACTTTCTGAAAAGCACGGGCAACTTTCTTCACGGTATCTTCGTCTGGTTTTACCCCGAGTTCCTCCATGTCTGCAAACACCTGATTATTTACAAGATTAAAGTTTGACAAACCAACTCAAACCAAACATCAGGAGGTGGGTCTAAAAAGAGTAAGATGTACGTAGATCTAACCTCTACCCCTGTATATCCCACCAAGTGGGACCTAGGGAGTCCAATATATCCCACCAAGAAGTGGGGTTTAGGGAGGGTAAAATGTACACATACCTGATCTCTATCCTAAAGAGTAGAATGGTTGTTTCCTGAATACCCCAAAATCCGACAAGCTAGTTAAGAGTAAGGGACCGTTTACCAAATGCTTACCGGGTAACCACTTACCGGCAAGAACAATCGCCCTCACTTACCTTATTAGGTAACATTATTGGCCACCAAAATGGAATCGTTCGTAAGCTTCTTAAACTCGGTAAGCGCTTACCGGGTAAAAGTCTTTTTCATCAGTTACCTAGTCTTTGTTATTACTATGGGGTCTTGAATCCAATGCCCCAAAAACCTAAGGGTTCCTCCGGGATGTGCTACCGTAGGCTCTGGGGAAGTCGGAATATGAGAGCACTCATCTTGGTAGAGAGACAGTAATTTATATTTTTCCGGTCCTTGTTACACCTCTTACCCGGTAAGATTCTCGGTCCATGCCATGCTCAATTGGAAAGGGAAGTGACACTTGGTAAACGCTTACCCGGTAAGCGTTTAGTAAACGACCCCTAAGCTAACATACAAATGGAAGCAGGTACAAAAAAAGACATAATGAAGGTAAAGAAACTACACAACCCTGTGTACCTCTATTATGTTCTGAGGCATGTTATGATGAGCATAGATGGATATCATTCTTGAAAACAACCTTCTTGAGATGGATCTTTGATGTGTATGCAAAATCATGTTCCAAAATGACTGTGCTTCATCTACCCTTTGGTCCATATCAAATGCCAGTAGGAGGGTGTCAAATGTTCCCATTGTCATTCCTTGACCTTTGCCAAACATCCATTTGGACACCTGTGTAACATCGGCACAACAGTAAACAAGATGGCTACACACCACTGTATTCTTAACGGCTTCCATTATTTATCGAGTCTTATAATACATACATACATGTTTATAAACCAAACTAGCCTGGTAAACAGGATGGCTCTTGGTTTTATCACAAATGACCCTTTTGGGGTTTTCAACTTTCATGCAATATTCACATCCTTGATTTGTGATTTTCAACATTTCGTACAAAATCAAGTATACACTTTTCTCGTTATCATCCAAACCAAAACTGACCAAACAGACCCAGTAATCCTGCATGCAGTGTAAGATGTGTGCAACCATCCCTCTATCCCAAAGTGTAGAGAGGTTGTTTATGAATAGTCATCATTTTTAGCTAATGAAACAAATGTCACATAGGGAGAGGTTCAAATAAGAAGACTAAATATCATGAGAAGGTAAGAACGGAAGGTTTATATGTGAATCATTGAAAAATCAATATGAAGATTCATATGTGAACCCATATGAATAATTCGTAACATGGGTTCACATATGCATCTTCAAATAGATTTTATCGGATTTTTTCAATGATTCAACATACGAACCTTCCTTTAACCTTTCCTTCTTACCTTCTCACGATATTTAGTCTTCTTATTTGAACCGGCCCCTTTCTACATAGTAGCACAACCATTCTATAGAATCTATTAAAATATATTTTATATAAATGTGCATTGACAAAATGCATTTCGGTTTCGGGAAAAACATGCATTAATCCCCAATAACAAATACTCCTTCCAAACCAAAATAAACAAGAATTTTGCTCAAGAAGGTTATTTCCTATCAAAATGATATGAAATTTCCTTGATCAAAGGCTTGTATATTTTGGTATGGAAGGCGTATTTGCTAGTATTATGAAGGCTTATGTTACTTCACATTTTAAGGCTTTTTTGTATGAGCTAAAACTATGTGCTTAGTATCATTCATTGTGAGTATTGCAATAACATTCATAAGCTTTTAGAATATAGTTTTCATACTTGAATCACTCGTCTCCATTGCTTCTGCTTCTTTAAGATATTAAGAGCCTTGGCTACTGCTATAACCGGGAACTCCGTCTCCCAAGCTGTCCATTTATCAAGTTCTCCATAAACAGCTTCTTTCTCATTTGGCAGTCCACAAACCTGTAAATTAGCCATTCCAAGCCACTTCAAATTTTAATTTGCTATAAACCCATTATATAAATGAACTAAAATGTAGAAAGTCAGTTTTGGTCCCTGACGTTTGTCCGTTTCAATGAAAATCGTCCCTAAACTTCATTTATTCCAAATTTGTCCTTGACGTAGCAATCTTTTGGTTTTCATCCTCCAATTAATATATAAATGAATTGAAATTTACCAAAATAACCCTCATTTAACTGGACTTAACAGAAAAAGATAAAGGGCAGTGGTGAGACGGACAAAACCAAAGAAGTTTTGCAAAGGTCGGGAAGAAATTTGGAATAAATGAAGTTTAGGGATGATTTTCTTTAAAATGGACAAACATCAGAGACCAAAACTAAAATTACTCTGAAATGTATAAGAAACTATTTATCATGACTGAGCATGATCTCATTTCTAACATACTACCAAATCCTAAAAGAGTTTGGGGGAAACGGATGAACTTATTAAGATGTGCACTTACAATTCGAACAAGATTAAGTGCCTTTTGCCCGGATGCAGCAGAATCTTTCCTACTCCATAAGTGGTGTTCTGCCTTGCTTGGCTTTTTGATAATTTTCCTATAGTATTGTTTAGAGATGTCATGAAAAGCCTTATAAGAACAAACAAAATTAAGTACATATTGTAATATTAGCTCACTTTCTCTAATCCTATGCCAAATCAAATGGGACTTCTGAATTTTGGTTTTGCTTCAAATAAATTAGACATTTTAGCTTTGCAAACCCGTTTATCGATATCATATTACTTCTAGTGGTTTCTTTTCAAATAAATTAGACATTTTTAACACTTTTGACCAAACAGATGGTTATTTTATGATGGAAAGAGCTTTTTACCCTGGATTTCTATATTTGGTATATGAACATGTGAAACAAAACTGTGAGCAATTGTTGTGCGAATTTTCAGCAAAAGCACCCCATGTGCATGTTGGAAAAGCAGATTTTTGTTCCCACTATCAACATTTTATAAATTTAATATATGTGCAAATTTGATAAATCTCTTTCAAATATAGAGATACATTCGACTTCTACAAGTATATTCTAGATTGAAATTGATATGAGTTCTTTTAACTTGTGAAAACCATTGTTATAAGCACAAATATGTCAAAGGTCAACGGTGCCCAATTGGTTTGAGCTTGGGCTCCGAAGGTCAAAAGTGCCTGGAGGGTTCAGATTCGAATCCAAGGAGGAATAAAAATCCCCTTGCAGCCACGGAGGTTCAAATGCGGTGACTCCGGGCTACCCGCGAAGCAGGTGGTCGCCCTGGGATTAGCGGCTCACATAGCGGGTTGGATATCCAGGTTAATCTAAAAAATATGTCAAATATTTCTTTTATACAACCCAAACTAGTTTAGGATAAAAGGCATCATTATTGAAAATGATTTTAAATAAAGAAAAAGGGATTACTAAAAAGGAGAATTAGCTTACCCCTCTATAGCATTTAACTTGATTATTTGTCGAGAACTTTGATTGTTGGAACACTTGACAACATGCTGAATTGCCTGTGTAAAATCTCAAACACGGCTGTAAGAGAGAAAACTCAGAACCTAATACTCCTAAGGTTATATACAGTTTCAATTTTGAAATCAATACAACCACTTTTTTAACTTTATATTTTTTTATGGCTTTTAAAGATTCTAGAGAAAAACAAATTCTAACTTTATTAAACTTCAAAAACAGGTTAGGACAAATCGAATAATATTTGTGCTAATTTTGCAACATTCATATGAATTTTGCATTTGAGAAGTATTGGGTACATCAAAATAATTAGTAACTTAAAAAAATTGAAAACACAAAAGAATTCACTATTAAGAATTTAAGCTTGCCTTTTGTCTGGTAAATCCTCCGGGGGTTTGAACAAAGGAGAACTTTTTTATTCCAATGATACCTATCTAACAGCAAAAAAAACACATGCAAAACAAATTTAAGAAAATAAAAATGTGAAGATAAGTAGAAGGAAACTGAAAAAAGATCATTCTTATGACCTGCTTTTGTTTAGCAGAGGAAGTTGGAAATGACGTTTGAGTTCTCAGCATGATTTATGATTCCATCACCTTTGTTTCAAAAAGTTCTGTCCGTGGAGCTGAGCCTGAAACTTTTGAAATTAAGTGTGCAAAATGCCAACAAAACCAACAACACCATAAAAATATTTATCATCAATAATAGTGCAAGTCGGGGGGGGGGGGGGGGGGGGGGTCTTCTCGAGACGAAACCTGTCTATGTCTATCTTTCTCTTCATACAAAGGTAAGGACTGTGTACATCTTCCTCCTCCCTCCTTCCCATATCCTACCTCCAAGTGGGATATTATGGGTCTGCTTGTTCCACTTCAGTCAAAATGTGAAACCCCTTTTTATCAAACCAAATTGGAGCTCTTAGAGCATCTCCAACAGATTCCTCAAAATTTCTCCAAAATGATGAGCCAAAAGTCAAAATCTCCAACAACAAAAAAAATACATTCATCTCCAACAGATTCTCCATTTTCGAGAATCCAACATTGATTTATAATATTAAAATATTTTATTCATCTATTACAATATTATTTCTCTCTCTAAATAATTATTTTCAAAGTTTTCTATTGGTGCTCACACTTGGTAATCATTTTTGGAGTGATCTCCATATTTGGAGAAAAAAATCATTCTCTATCCTACTTTCTCCATCTTGGAGATAGTTTTGGGGAAGCAGTTGGAGCAAAACATTGGTTCGTCCCTATTTTCTCCATTTTCCCCATTTTGGAGAAGATGTTGGAGATGCTCTTAGGCCTCTTTTTCATCTATATTAGTCCCCCTCCGTTCAATAATTATATTAGAAGGAAGCTATGGTAACAAACCCGTCGGTACTAAATTTAATCTTTTAAGAAAAATCGACTAGCTAGATTCAATTTCGTAATACAAGAAACAACATTCAGTACTTCTTTATTATCAAGTATTGTTTTTATTTTGAATTCTGGATTTCAAAACATGTGACATATAAACAATCATGGTGCAGCTCAATAACTCTTCATCATAATCTGAACTCCACTTCCATTTACACAAATAAACAATTCATATACACAAATCTTTAACTTAAGGATTCTATTCGGATTAATAGAGGATTTGTGACATTCGAGTTCAGGTATTCAAGTTTCAAATTGATAATGAACAATTCATAAATAAATAAATAAAAAGTTAAAACAGGAATAAGCAAGAGAACTCTATAAACATTTACTACTTAATTGTCAATGTACGAATTCTAGATTGCTTACCACATTACCAAGTCTTTACACTTCCATCAGCTAATCCAATTTGAAACCCTTGATTGCTTTGAGCAAATTTGAAACCCCTACATTTCCAAACATCAAATTTGTACACATCAAACCAGATATTACATGAATCCATCGTTTATACAAACTGATTCAAAAAGCTTTTATCCCACAAAAATATGAAATACACGAGACAACAAGAAATCTTTCAAGAGTTCACAATATTAACAATTAATCATCAAAAAATCAGCTTATCTTTCGGATATGTTATTACAACTTCTTGGAACAACATAAGAGAAGACAGAAAAGAAAACCCCACTGGCGCATTTCATCGAACACATCATAGGCATAAAACAAAGAGCAACCAATCAGTAGTTCAGGACACCATGAATCACGCGATGAAGGGATAACTTACCGGTGACGAGGGCACACACCGGCGAGAGAAAGAGAGCGACGAGCTCAGAGCTAGGGTGCTCCCTTGCCTTTGGCGCAAAATAGCTCCATTTGGATAATGCTTTTCAGGTAAAATAATAAATTAAGAAATAAACTTTACTAAAAAACGCATTTTAACAAAGATGGAAACGGCACAGGTAATATGCAGCAAATGCAACCCGACCCGTCCCATATGCGTTCAGTAGAAATCCTTTTTCGGGTTCTCGTTTAGGGGAAAAAATGTATTTTAAAAATGGATCAATTATATATTAAAATATATAATATATATCGGGTGATATTTTTTACTTTTTTTTCTTTTTGATATGATTCCATACTTCTTAATAATTTGTTCCATGAAGATGATGACTGTTGTTTGTCTCTAGTTGTATCTAGAAAAGACTTTTGTATTGTTTATTGATGATATGGGACTTTAAACAGCGTAAGGGTCTCGTGGTTTTACTCTCCCCTTGAGAGGTTTCTACACTAAAATCGTGTGTAACGTGTGTGCTATCTCTGTTGTTTATTTCTGATTTGGGGGGCTGATTATTATGTATTTAGTATACCTATTTTTTGCATCCTTATAAGTTCATATAAGTCGGGAAAGTTTTTTGTCCAACGAAGGTTTATTCCGCATTGTTGTTATCGTTGTGACGCGTTTTTCCATCATCCCTGAACCCGCTTCGGGTATAAAAACAATAGGTGTTCCCGCCTGTTATCAAATAAGCCATGAAATCTCAGCCCTGTTAGCGGGGTTACCTGTAGGCTGCAGTTACCCGACCCAATGCGTAAAATTTCCAACATTAATCATTAATTAGCCAACTTTTTTAGAAGATAATATATAAAATAGCCGTCTTGTTTTCAAAAATTATCTAGAAACATGTTCGTGTAATTTTTTATTCGAATGATCAATTGAAATTTTATTTTGGTTTGGTTGATTTATTGTGGACGCCCTTGGTGGTACTTGCATAAGTATATGACCGTAAAACAAGTTAAACGGTTATTGAGTGATTCGAACTTTAACTACTTCAAGTTCAAGTACAAATATTAGCGTGATTTATTGAAAACACGACTTTCCAAATCAATTCCTAAGCCTTTTTCGGCAATCACAATCATCACACAGAATGCGGTTTTCGGCATTGTTACAGTGGAAAGAAAACAAGTAGTATTGTGTTAGGAATAATTCCCTTCTTATAAGATGCACACTGAAAACATACATATAGCATAACAAATGTCTTTCGGTCTTTCAGTTTGTAGAAGAAGCTAACTGCTATATAGAGACCTGATCCCTCGAATGTCATCTGAATTCAAACGTTTCGTTACTCCTGATTTGAAGGAAGCCCACATTATTGCATTTTGAAATTGGCTATGACCAAGCCCAAGTAGGTGTCCTATTTCATGTAACGCCAATGTCTCCACATCATAAGCATTTCGAACAGCTCCGATGACCCAACGATCATCTGCATCATAATGGAACCTCCCATCTGTAGGTGCAAAAGCATGGGCCAACACTCCACCAGGCCCATCAAATGGGGCCCCATCTCCATGGGCTCTACGTGCGAAACTAATCTTTAGGTCAGCACGACGGTAAGTTCTAGCTCTTGAAAATGTAAAATATCTAGAAGCAATAGCCCATTTGCTAAAAGCTCGCGCAACAGGGGGCATGAATCGGGTAGGGAAACGTGATCCAAAAGCATACGTTAGATGTCTTTTTCCCTTGGGCCATTTTGGTCTACCTGGAAAGAATCGATAATGAGAGACTGTATGTAAAGAGTTATTGCTATGTTGGTGTGTTTCCTTATCAGGAAACCCACAACGAGGCATCACCATCTTCGATACCGTTGGCCCATCAAGCTTCCCAGTGTCATTCAGATGGTAAAAGACCTGGTACGATTTGAGGGCTGCCTCAAGCTCGTCATCAAAATGGTCCTCTTCAGGATGCGTGACATCAGGGTTGTTCTGGTAGTTTAAGTATCCAAAATGACCAAGATATCGTTTAAGGTCACGGATGCCTTTTACATTCTCGCCCTTACCACACCCCTGCATGTTTTTAAGAAACCCAAAAGGTGATGCATCCGAGTTATTAACCAATAACCCGTTTGGTTCTAAATGAGGGTACTGAAAATGCGAAAAGACTGATGATACGAAAAAAACAAGAAAGAGAACACATGAAAAGGGAAAGGAAAATTTAGACGTCATCGCAGAGACAATGTTCAAAGTCTGAAATACAATTATAAGATACAAAACCTCTATTTATACCAGTTTTCTCCAACTTATTTATTTATTAATTAATTATTTTAAAATCCATGAAAACGGTTGAGAAATTCTTTGATTTTGATACTAGGATTCATTTTGTTATTAAATATTTATTAAAAAATTGTCATAATAATCAAATCTTCCAATAATCTATAAAAAGTCAATAAATTGACTTCCATAATCATTAAAAGTCAACCGACTTGCCCCCATGTATGCAAGGTTTTATAGCAAACTTATTTAACCCAAACTTATTTTAGGGTTCTATTGTAAAATTATTTAAGAAAATATGAAATAAACTATTATTTTTTATAAAATAATTATTAGAAGAAGTTTTAAATATTAATATTATATATACTATATTATAAAGTATTTGACAAAAACTCTTAAAAACCATTTTTTATGCATGAAGTACTGTATATTTATGCATATTACTTAAAATTCAAGATTACAAGTAAATTATGCATAAGTACAATTTATTAAAGCTTCATATTTGAATTCCTATAACTAACTGCGGATAAATATAATAAGATAGAAGATAAGCATCTCATTTTAAATATATAAAAAATCTAAAATATAATTAGGATAATTATCGAGTTCTAACAAAATAATTAATAATTATCTTTATAAGAAAATTATATTATTAAACCAAATATAAATTATTTCGTTATTAGACCTAAATTAAATTATAATAATAAAAATTGAATTAATAAATTACATAAAAATAGGAATTTTAAATAGTTAATTTAATACTAATATCGATATATTTTTGTCAAATTTTTATGATATTTTCGAATTTATATTTTATTCAAAAATAAAAACATCATCGTTTTTTCAAAATCACATAAGACCATACTATAACATCGACTGAAATAAAAGAATAAAATGAAATATTAAAATCAAGATGTATCTCGTTGTATTGCGCGAGTATCCTTCTAGTATTATAAATTTATTTTATTGTATTTTATTTTTAGATATTCAGAGTCTGTGTTTTTTTAGAAGGAAAAAAGCTATTATTAGTTTCTTATGTTTGATTCGTTAAGAGGTATGGTCATTTAGACTTTTTTTTTAAAAAAAAAAATCAAATGCACTTATGTCTTATTGTCCCCTTATCTGGTAAGAGGTAAATCAACATCTTATTTGTCTCTTATTGTTCTCCAAACCCTCAACAATGACGATTCTCAACCTAAATTGATCCTTTCTCTCAATCGATACTTGCGAAATCGATCATCGTCTCTCTCAATTGATGTATTTTAATAGGATTTAAATGTGTTAAAAGACCATCAATGGCGAAAAATCGTATAAGAAGAAGAGTTAAGGTGAGAAGCGTGAGAAGTGATCTAGACTCTTGATCACATTAAATCTCAAAACCACACATGAATTGTGCTTAATACGGGTATTGATCTAGTGCATATCATCCTAATATGCATTCAAGGGTGGAGATCGCTTCTTACGCTTCTCACCTTCACCCCTCTTTTCACCGGAACCCAACCATACCGTCAATGACATGTTTTCGTTTAAATGAATGCTAATTATATAATTTAAATATAAATTTCTTAATGATGATGAATAAATATGTGAAATTGTATAAATTCATCTATAAATTCAACACTATAACTTTCTAATAGATAAAATAAACAATTTAAACAAATTCAAATATTCATCAGTTTACAAAAACAAACAATCTTATTGATTCAGATTTCGGCCTTCATCACCACCTTTTACAAATCATAAGTAAAATAAGACTTCAAATTTCAGCACTTCTTAAAAAACAAACATCATCTTAAAAAAAACAGTTATGGATGAATGATTGAAGGATAAGATTCCATTATTATATTAATTTATAACCAAATCTTAATTTCATTGGATTTTTTTAAAAAAAGAACATCGTACTTGGACTGTTTTTTCATTCGAATGTTTAGTGGATATCACATAAACGTGGATTACTCGACCTCAATTTAAATAATAACTTTTATAATATTTGATGATTCCGAGTGTTTTTTTGAAAGACGACAATCTATTAAAACCAATCAACACAACTGAAACCCAACGAAAACCTACATGAGATGTTCAATAAGACAAAAGTAACAAACAATCGACCATAACCAATTGACAAGAATAGGCGGGTGGGGTATAGAACTGCAACATTCAAGACCTAGAGAAAGCTGTAACCTAATGAGACAACTATCGGCATGAGACAAGTTGGATATTGATCAACGAGTCACTACGGCCACACAAATTACCGAACACAAGTTTATTTCATGAGTACAAAATCGAGCAAAGGGAGGTCCAGACCATAGCGTGCCACAACTTACTCATCGAGGACGTTGTAGAAAATAACTCGGATAAAATCCAAACTTCTAAAACCAAGGCAATAGCCCTTGGAGTATGGTTGTCTGTGAAACCATAATTATTAGTTAAAATACATTTTTTTCTTGTAAAATTTACACCGTTAGAAAAATCTTGTCAGATATCCTTGTAAAGAGTTCAATATTGAATATTTTTAAAAATTAGTTATATTTTTAATGTTGACACAAATAAAAAAAATATTAATTGCATGCGTATATGATAAATACAATATTTAATCTAATCTCTATTAAATACACATTTGAGTCGATGTTTGCCATTGATCCTTCTTGAATTTTTCTAATAAAATTTAACGTAAATTTTAGGGTTATTTATTTTGAGTTAATACAAAGTTATTTTTTTAATTCAAGATTTATTTGTTAATTTGTGATACCATTGTTAAAATCCACCACTTCATATGTTTTATATTTATTATTGGGTTAAATGTATAAAATAACAATCTACTTTCATAAAAAAAATTATTATAGTATTTTACTTTTATTTTTCTTTATTACAACAATATATTTTCAAATTATTTTTTATTAAGGCATCGCACTTTAAAAAATCTATCCATTATAACAATAAATAACCTGTTACTTTTTAAGCCGATTAACCCTTGACTTTTTTTGCTTATGTGGCTTTAATGAGGTGAAGTGGATGACACATCATTTTGATGACTTAACTAAAATAAAAATAAAAACATATTTCAAATTATTATTAGTAATTTTCATTTTTCATTGCTATGATTTAAAAAAAAACATTTAATTTTTTTGACTTTTTCTTATTAAATTGCTTCTTAAATAAATATGATACATTATTTTCGAGATATATTTATTTTTAAAAAAGGTAACACTGCTTATTTTATGTTGTTCAAAAAAATACATATCTTTTAAAGTTCTCTCTAAAATATTAACGAAATAAATTGTGATTTATAATTTTTCGTATGATTTTTTAATATTGTTATATTAATAAATAATTCAAAAAATCTAATTAATTTAATATACTTATACGTAAAGTAAAAAAATTTAACAAATATAATATATTTTTTAAAAGATAATATTTTTTTGGTAAAAAAGAACAATTCTTATTTTTATTTTTTGCAGAAAACACAATTTTTTTTAAAAATGTTAGCGAGATAAGTTGTGTTCTACTAGTTTTATTAATATTGGTATATTAATGAATAATTTTAAAAAAATTAATTCATTTAATATATTTATTAAATAACATGTAAAATATCTAAATATTAAAATTAAAAATATATTTTTTAATAAGAACCAATAGATGCTATAATAAAATAATTTTGAAAGTACAACGCTATAATAAAAAAGTTACATCACTATAATACATGTGAACAACCTACATGGACAATGAGATGACATAGAAACATAATATAATTAATAAATTTTTCAAAGTACAATGTCTTAATAAGAAATAGTTTGAAAATACATTATTGTGATAATAAAAACTGAAAAAATATATAACCTAAAATTAGAAGTGTAAAAATACAGAAGTTAAAAAAAATTAAATTTAGAAAAATAAGTCGTATCTTGTATAAAAAAAAAACACCCCACCTTACACACGCTACGGGCCTTATGGTAATGGCGGAGATACATCTCATGCCATGGCGCATCTTTTTTAGACACTCAGGTCAACCGACAATCCATTTTGATGGTTAAGAATGTTGTTGATAAAGTAATTGATTATGACTCTTACCGGTACGCGTAAACGGCCCCTTAGCCTAATTCCATAAACAAACTACAAGAACCACATGGGAAATCAAAATGTCCAAAAACATTCCAAGGTTCTCACATCACTAATTACATGAAATCCTTGTGGTTTTTAGCACACACCCAGTAAGAGATGTTATCTCTGTTTATTTTCGGATGTTACACGGTATATTGCATGATATCAACATAGTTCGGGCCTAACAAATAAACGATTGTTTGATAAAGATCAAGACGAGTAACAAACCGTTTTTAAGCCAAGATCGTTCAGAAACCAATCATCAGAAGATGTAATCTGGCAACAGGAGAGGAAATCTAGCAACTTCAACCTCAAACGGACTTCCTTTTGGATCTGCTAATCTACACACGGAATAGGCAAGTGCTTGTTATCACGCTAACTGAGAAGATTAGAGTTGTAGATGCAACAAATGTGAGAGCACGAGCCACGAGGGTGAGTCCAACCGGGGGCAAATACATCCCAGGCCGGCTGGTCCGACCGGGGGCAAATACATCCCAGGCCGGCTGGTCTGACTGGGGGTAAATGCATCCCAAGCCGGCTGGTCTGACCGGAGGCAAATGCATCCCCACGACAGCTAGTACGACCGGGGGCAAATGCATCCCAGGCAGGTTAGTCCGAGCTGAGGCTAGTCTGATGGAAAAAACCATGGAATCCTAGTGATTGAGGTTACACCCTACCCCTCCCAGACCCTAATTTCGAGTGGATATATCCGGTTCGTTTTGTTTGGTTTGGTTTTACCCTTCAAAATGCTAGGAGGGTTGCCGATCATAAATCATTTCATAACAAAATGCAGTTAAAAGTTAAAGCCACGGAAATTCGATTATGATGTGATGGGTTTTACTTGCCAAAAATGCATAAACTTGTATTGTAGAGTGTGTTATACAAACCTGCCGGGGAGAAATGTGAAAGAACCCTCGACGGATCCTGGTGAACACGCGGAAGTTGTGCAGCTCTCGTAAACGAATTCTTTCTGCCCTGGACGTAAGAGGGGAAACTGTAGATAAACAAAGCGTAAGTCGCTTGGCGTGCATAAAGAGCAACATTAGCTATAATTTCTATAGAAATTATGAGGTCTTCCAATAACAAACACAAGAAGAATGGAACAAATTCTCATTCCATTGCATGAAAATTACAACTACTTTCGTTTTGGCATGTTCCATACAAATTGCAACGTTTCCTTTTTCGGCAACTTTTTAAGCTAAAACTATTTATTTTCCCAAATAAAATTGATGATGTTGAATTGGATTTAGCAGATACTGTCCTCCAATTATTGACACTATAACAGAATTACAGAGCAGCAAATAGTGGGAAGGAGTGGGGCATCCTTGCAAAATAAGTGGGAGCCTGGGAGGAACGGGGTTTGACTGGGGGCGAACCTATATAGGGGTATAGAGTGGCCCGTGCCACCATTTCATTGTTCCGTCATGATGAAAAAAGTTGTGTTTCTGAAGGATACCAAAGTAACATTTCGTTGCGGCCCTTATATTTCTTGAAACAAAACCAAAGACAGAAGTTCGTGATAGCAGAGTTGGTGTACCTTAAAGTTCCCCTTCGGAAGGGCAAGGGTTCAAATCCTGCGTTAGATAATTTCCTATTTTCAGCATCTATATCTTTTATTTTTGAATTTTTTTGGAAGAAAAGATAACGAGAAGGGTCGAATATGGGATCTCTCCTTGCAAAGGCAAGGAACCAACCAACGGATCTGTAACGATTTAGTGAAACAAAATGATAATAAAAACTTGCATGAATCAAAAATTTCCTTCCTTGACCACTTCTAGTGGACGACCTTCTCGACTAGTCATAGATAAAGATCCAAAAGAAGAGGAAGGGTAAGGTAAGTGAGGGCGGTTACTCTTACCACCTACCAACAATCTAATCTGGTAAGGTAACTGAGGGTGGTTCCTTTTACCCATTAAGCGTTTACCCAATAAGTGTTGGTAAATGGCCCCTTAGTACGTTCTATTGTGTGCCTCATTATCTATTGTTGAACTAGATGGATGCTTAGAGCTTCACTTATAATTCTAATGTTGTTCAAGCCATCAGGCTTAACAATTACTCCATCTGAATCAGCTTTAATGCATTTTCTTCATAATTTTTTTTGGTAACGTGGGTGTCTGGCCAGCTTGTGCACACCTGGACTAATCCCAGGAGGCCCTGGAAGATAACAGCCCGGATATTCCCAATGGCCCTAAGGAGACTTGAACGGGCCCTAAAGAAAATCCCGAGCACGTGCTTTTTCTTCATAATTGGTGCTGAAATATGTGGAACCACTGTGAATCTCTCTAAGAGAGCCCTTATATAGAAAGGGAAAGTTCCTGCATACATAACAGTTTTGATGGTACGTGTCTAGCCGATGCGAGATTCCGACAATTAGTAAGTTCCATATGTGTATGTATAAATATCTCTGCTGTTAATTGCGCCGCTATAACGGTGGTACAGCAGTTCACGGTCCTCGGGAGAATAGCAGTGCCGACAACAGCGGCGCTTTTTGCCGCATTTTTTGACCACAACTTTCAGTTGCAATAGCTGAGCTAAACCCGCTATTTTTGAACTGCTTTTTACCATCGCGATAACTGCTATATCACAGTTTTCTGACCATGATTTCAGATTTTAACCGCCTTAACAACATAGATAAATATACATGTGGGTGGCAGCATGTATCAACTCCTACACAATGAATGGTCATGGAAGGTATTTAGGATCGATGAGAGTAGGGCCTCACGATATATAACGATGAGAAACGTGTGAGCAAAAATATTTGAAATCAGAGAACATCTAACCTGGCCTATCACAGCTTCTCCATTGATATCTTCCACAACATTCTCATTCGCTTTGATTATCCAGTGTCTCCAATACAGTTGGCAGGAATCGAAGGACATCCCATTGATAACACATCCCTCGGGTTTAAGACACATACGGATCGAGTAAGCAAACATATATTTCTTAGCTGCTTGCAGAAGGTCGCTGAACTCCGGTACAAACACAGCAGAAGCACGAACCTGCGATGCATTTACTATCTTTCTCAGCTATTTTACACACGGATTTTAATTTTGAGGCAACAACGTTAGATTATAACCCAAACACACAAAATCATGGCACCTATTGACCAAATAAACATATTTAACGGTTCATACACACAAACACCCAACATCAAAATTCCGATTTTCACCAAAATCATTTGATCATAAACCAGAACTCATATATAGACAAGTGGACAAAATAAAACACCATGCATAAATGGAAAGAAACTAGGAAGACAAAGCTCAGACGTTAATGACTTCATCAGATGTATTTGTGTGTGGGCGCATTTATAGAAAATCCTGAAAGACCGTTATGGGGAATCTGGGACTTGTCTAAATCAACAAGTTGCTCACAGAATGAAAATTCATTTTCGAACATTTGTCGCTACTAATACAACTACGAGGTGGACTTCATAATTTGTAAAGGTTTAGGGAGTTGTACATTATGCTATTATGGTAGTATGTATACAACAAGAATCATTTTACCCCGAACTAGTTGGGGAGAGCTGAAAATGAAGCCACGAGAAACTACTAAGAGGTGAAAGGCAAAATTAATTGCAAGGATATGAATCCCAAGGCCCAAGGGAATGAAAGAACAAAGATAAATTATTAAAAAGTAAGGAGCTTGTTATATTTACCAATAGGGAAAAGTTCAGAAAAAACTCGACAAACTTTCCCATTTTGAATGATTAAGTGCTTGAACTTCTTTTTTAATGAAAGAATCATTGAACTTCCTCATTTTGAATGAAGAAATCATTGAACTTTCTCATTATGAATGATTAAGTCCCTGAACATTTTTCGAATAAATAAATCATCGAACTTTTAGAAATTGGTTACCTACATCCTTTTAACCCAAAAAAAGCTAACTGTGACTGGCTACGAAGATTTTAACGTAAAAATAAACATAAATCAGCTTTACCGTTCCCAAACCCTACGAAATTCAAACGCCTCACACACATCGCTCCCCCGGCCACCCCTCGCCTCCCCCATTCGTTGTCCGTTACCGTCCATTGCCGTCGTTAGCCCCTACTATCGATCTCCCTCTTTTAGATCTTTTCGGTTTATCGATGCTCCCTATTTTACAACAATTTAATGGAGTACATATAGACAAATCAGTAAAGAGGGAAAACCAAAAAACAATCAAAAAGAGGGAGGTCGATGGCAAGGGCCAACAGCGGTGATGGGCGGTGATAGAGAGCGGACAACGATAGGGCAGCCACGGGGAGTGATGGTGTTGGGTAAGAGGGGTGTGAATGGTGTGGGATTAGGGAACGGTAAAAATGATTTAGGTTTTTTACTTTAAAACTTTCCTAGCCAGTTATATGCAGCTTTTTTGGGGCTAAAAGAACGTAGATAACCAATTTCTAAAAGTTCTATTGTTTATTTATTAAAGAAAATGTTCGGGTCTTAATCATTCACAATGAGATAGTTCAATGGTTTTATTCATTTAAAAGAATTCAGTGACTTACTCATTCAAAATAGAAAAGTTCGATGGGTGTTTCTGAACTATCCCCTTACCAATAAACTATTTATTCCTTCTTAGCCCTCTTATGGTTTAAACATCAATTACTATTTTATCATCCAGGTCAAAATAATCCAGATTAGAAAATCACAAGCAGTAATATTCCATCCCAGAATAAGTGCTCACATTTCATTTTAATTTGTAAAATAAGTGTTCTCTTCCAAAGTAAGTGTCTACTTCCCAATTCTACCCTTAATTATGAGATGATGAAATTCAAAACTCCCTCTATATTTAAGGGTAAAATTGTTGTTTAGTTAATTAAAAAGTGTAATAATTACACATTTTAAAACTGTGCCTTATTCATTATGGATGACGGAGGGAGTATGAACCAACACAAAAGAAGTTTGACGTGTAAAGTAGGTTTAACTACCTGAACACCACCAGTTGTAGCCACGGAACAAAGGGGAGGTTGTTCAGGGAATAGACTGATGCTTCGAATATTTCCTTCTTTACGTACTTTAATATTCCCAGTTTCAAGGCGACGGACATGTTCTTCTAACCATAACAACATGCCATCTTGTTGGCAACCACTTCCGGAATCATGCACTGAAGTTATCAATCCCTTTGGTACGCACGCCATCATTTCTCGATTGGTTAAAAGATTCCTGGTGCCAACAAAGAGTTGACCCTCCTCACAGTCGAGAAAGAATATCTTTTCGGTGTTAGTGGAAGAAGCAGCCATGACAATATACTTGGGTCTCGTAAATCCAAGGTGACGTACAATATCCTTTGTCTCTCGGATTACGAGATTTAACGGCAGCAAGAAAACATTCACAAGATAGTTATAGAAAGAATAACCTCCAATCAACCCACATAAATTTTTACGCATACTTCCGCTTGATGTATCACTGCACGGATCTTGTCCATCACAGAACCGGTAAAGAACCCTAGTAGGAAGAGGCAGTTTCACTTTTAAGGAATTCTCTAACTCTTGTATCTCATCCTCGGACGCACCCTTACGAAGAGTGGGCAAAACCTCCGGGAAATTTTCTGTTAACCAGCTTCGAATTCTTCCCCAGATGTTTTTCACTCGTCTAACCAGCGGCCACGGATACATACCATAAGCTTGTCTCCATGCCCCATAAGCCGCCTAGAATGTTGGAAGAGAGCTAGAAAATATACGTTATGATCATATCATAGGCATCAATTTATAATTTCTCATACGAAAGAAACAAACACCATAAATATTTGCATATATTCAAGAGGTTCCAGTCACTATATATGCAAGGCTTAAAGAATAAGAAGCGAATGTAAATGTTAACATACACGTTCACTTCAACCAGTTTTCTTATCTTTTATCAAACTTGCTTATATTAGTGATGAAAACTCGTGTAACAGTTTGTAAGGTGTAAGCAGACATGTGAAGACCCCCGGCTTGTAAATACGGTTTTGAGAAAAAAAGGGTCCAACACTAGGACTTCAATGGGGGGACACACACATCCTAGTAGAACTTCACCTAAGGACACTTATCTGCGGAGTTTTGATGGGATCCAAAGTTTTTGGAATCCTCAATCCAAATTCTATTGTATTTTCGCCAACTTCATTTCTATAACGTTTTCCGATCATTTTTGCTTTCTTCTCATTCATTGACTACTTAATTGAAACAAAACAAAAAAGACAAAATGTCCCCAAGTTGAATGGGAGTTTGAAGTCCCCTTCAATAAAGGAGTGCTGGAATCAACAAATTAGGTCCTCTCTATTGCAAAAGACAAGATTTTCTACCATTTTTCCCTTTAAATCTTAAAGCTTTCATTTCCAATTGTAAAACCACTATGCATTTTGTTACAAATTCGAAACCAAAACTCTTCTATTTGTAGATTTTGATGGTGATAAAGTAATTCCCCCAACTCTTCTCATATTCATCACAACCCAGAGAAAACTGGATTAGGGCTCAGGCCAAATCGTTGTTACCCTCACAGCATAAGTCAACACGAGCGACGACTTTCTATAATTCTTTCAAATTTTCTACCATCTCACTCATTACATCAAAAATCATCGACAAATAAAACAAACAATTAAGTAGATTGAGCATCGACATTCACATATGAATATAAAACAAAACGCAAAACTGGATGAATGAATTACAGGGTCAGTGAAATGACCTTAAAAGAGGGAGATGGATTGCCGAGAGGATCAATTGGGGAAGAGAGGTTGAGTTCTTGAGCACAGAAAGATGACCACAGAGATTCATCGGAAGCCCACTCCTTGAAAAGTTTATTAACACAAGCCACAGCTGCTGCTTCAGAAGGTCCAAGTTTCGATATGATAATGTGAATAGCTAATCCTCCAACGCCCTCTAACCCTATCGATGGTCTGATCGCCATTGTTATTGATCAAAATCTGCAAAGGAAAGGATTTACCAGTTCTTAAATTAGGGGGTGTTTGGGATTTGCTTATTTAAAACAAGCATATGTTCTTATTAACTTATGTGGTGTCAAACCGGAGTTTTATAAAAAGTGTACCAGAACGCAATAAGCTGATAAGTTGTTTTCTAGTGTTGGCAAATTTTGCTGTAAAATGATAAAAAAGACATTATTCCACAACTAGGAGATCAAAACCATTGAATCTGTAAGAAAACATAAAAACCCTAATTAATCACTTTAACATCTGAACTACCACATACCCAACGGCATAAAAACAATTTAGTACAAATTTGAATAAAAAGTTCACAAAAATTTGAATAAAAAAAAGCTATCAATGAGCTATTATTCATCAGAGTCCTAATCTCTCACCGATGAGTTTTTTTTTTTTTCCTATAAATGAGCTATTATAATCCTCATGAAACCATATTTTTCTTAAAGTTAAGCAACTATCCAACATGAAGAAAGCTTTTACAAGAAAACAGCTTTTAAAATTAATGTATGAGAAACAAGCAAGAAAACCACAGAGGAAATCGATTTATCAGAGAGGAAAACGAGTGACAGCAAGATATCGACCGATTTTAAGAAATCACAGCGATGGATTGCTAACCTGAGGAAGAAGGTCGCTTACGTGAGGAAGAGGTCGATCTTCGAGTTCTGCAGGATGAAACAGGTTCGATTTCTGGTATCATGAACACCGACATTTATCACAGAGGAAAACGATTCGCAGCAAGATATCAACCGATTTGAGAAATCACAGAGATGAGATTGGTTACCTGAGGAAGAAGGTCGCTTACGTGAGGAAGAGGTCAATCTTCGATTTAGGATGAAACAGGTACGATTTCTGGTACGACTGCTTGTCAGTGAGGCGTAAGGGGGAAGAAGAGGACAGAGGTCGAGCGTAGTTGGTCGTATGGTGAGTAAAGGCAGAGAGGGTTAAAAACGTAATTTGGGGGCACCGTTTAGATGGTTATCGATGCCTGCTGCAGTGCTGCGGACGAGTGACTCAACATGTGTAGATAATTGACACGTAAACGCTTCATAACTTGGGGCACCGTTTGTTTGTGATTTAGCCGACAAGAGTAGTCGAGTTCGTAAGGGGGCTGGTAATGTAAACTCAGGGAAGTTGAGGGGCAAGGAACCAGAACCCCCAAACATGAGGGGTTTGTTTGCAAGAAAAATAAGACATGCTATGCTAGGTTGATAAGTTTTTAAATTGATGGAATCCTTTAAATTCTATTAAAATCCGTAAATTAATGAATTTATCATTCATTGGTATATAACTAAATGAATTGAATTTCATTCATTTGCATCTAATTTAACCAACACCGCTCATCCCCTACCCCCATCGCGACCATGCTACTAGTGTAACAGTCACGCCCTAGCCCCTAACCCTTCACCACCACACAACTACTGTCGTTGTCAGAACCACCATCCAACCCTGCCTTAACCCGCACTCCCACGCCACCTACCACCACATCAATGTCATCGTCGTTACAACTACCACCCCACCACCGACCACTATGCCACTATTGTCTTCGTCATAACTACCCCTCGGCTACTACCCACCCACGTGGGTGGCAGGTGGAGTGGGATGGTGGTGGGCGCGAGGCAAGGGAACCGAAGGCGGTGGTCAGGGCGAATAGGAGTGGGTGGGTGGTGGTCGGAAGTAGGGTGGGTGGTTGGTGCCACCCCTGCCACCACCAATTCTATTATTGTCTTCATCACAGCTGCTACCCCCACCCAACCCCACTTTCGACCACCAATATCATCATGTCACTAATGGAGATTCCAATTCTTTTAAGAGATTTCATTTTAATTACTACCAATCAAACGAGTGGTCAAATTTCATTTCAATTCCATCAAAGTCAACTTCCTTTGAGGGATTCCAATTCCACCAATTTTCGTACTATGAACCAACATACTGTTATATGTACTCATCGTCCTTTCTTTTAAGAAAAAAGAGAAAAACATTATACTCTTATATTTATCCCCATTCTATTCCATCCACCATGATGGTCGTCACCACCACTACCATCGTCGTCACCACTATTATTATTACCATTATCACCTTCACCCCCACTGTCCTTACCGCCACTGCCTTTATACCCCATCCACCACCACTACCTCCTCCACACCGCCACCACCATTATAGTCAATGAACCAAACAAATAGATCATGAAGAGATGTTTTGGTAATTAATTACTAAACTATTATAATTTTGGGTCCATAACTTCTATTCAAGCTGTTTGTGTACCTGCAGACGATTCCAAAACATACGACTTTCTGGATGTAGATGGTGATATCTATATAGATGGATCAGAAGTTTTATTTAGCGAACCAAACAAACTTATTTCAGTTCTTCTAACAAATTTTATTCTAATTATTGCCAACCAAACGCATGATCAAATCTCATAAAATTTCATTTCAATTCTTTTGATAAGTTCCAATTTTGACATGTTCATTATGTGAACCAAACGCTACCTAATAAACTAATTATGTTGGATTAAAACTAACTAATAAATGATAAGTTATAAGACCATGTAAAATGACCTAATAATATAAGAGATAAAATTGGAAGGAAAAAAAAAAACTTGAAGCTTATTGAAACGCTAATTGAAGCAACTTTTATAAAAATAAAAACTAGCTTATAGCTGAACAAACAGAACTTTCAACTTTTTCAATGAACTCAAAACATAAAATAGCTTATGGGTGTCAAACATGATCAAAGTGTCTAATTCTTTTACATGGTGTGTATATATATATATATATATATATATATATATATATATATATGAGCGTTCAAATAAAAACCACCTAATTTGTATAAACCGTGAAAACCACATTCAACCAATCATAATTTTTCATTTTGTTTATTTTTTTTTGTAATTATGAGAGGTTGATTAACCATTTTTATTGTGGAAGGTGTTAATCATAGATATTATTATCTTCATTATTTAATTTTAGAAAAATACATGAAACAGTTTCATTAAAATTTCATTAAATATTATATGAAACAATTTCATAATCATATATGAAACAAATTCATCRAAAAAAAAATATTATATGAAACAATTTCACAAGATTAAACAATTCCATGAAAAAATTTCATAAGACTAAACAACGAAATCGACGTATGAGGGTGGTTTGTACGGTTTGTACAAATGAGAGTGGTTTTCATTTGATCGCTCCTATATACATAGGGTTGGGTTCACGTGAGACCAAGACTTTTTCGTGAGACCCGTAAGACCAATTCTCAACCCTTGGATTATATCTACAATCCCAACATTCATAATCACAAAATTGCCACGAGACTTCTCAATAATTACAAAATTGTCACCGTGCAACTTTAGACCATTAGATCGTTAGCTTATAAAGTTGATCAATGAACATAAATTGGTCTCACGGGTCTCACGAAAAACTCTTGGCCTCATATGATCCCAAGTCTCTCTCTCTCTCTCTCTCTCTCTATATATATATATATATATATATATATACTACCTTATAAACCAAATTTGATAAATGTCTTAAAAACAACCTTAAATGCATAAGGTACTACTTCTTTATGGATAAAGTCTTAAAAGTCTTAAAAATCTTAAAGTACTACTTATTGATTCTTTATGTACAACTTAATAATGCTTCACAATGTGCCTCTCCATACTCCTCATGTACCTCTTCATACTCGCAATGTGCCTCTTAGACTTACAATCCCTGGTTGTTGTCCCATCCTATCTCTCTCTCTCTCTCTTTACATTTGCAAGGACGAATTCTCTTTTCCCTCCAGTGACTCTCTTTTCCTTTGCACCAGTGAACCACCTATAATGAACTTTCATCGGCCAAACAAACCTCTGTCGCTTAACTCTCTTTTTCTCGCCTAACTGCGGTACCATGACCAACCGCTAAAACCCAGTCCGGCGAAAACCATCATCACTCAACGATCTGCTCTGGAGTGGTTGGATTAGTCAAAACAGGGTATGTAACTCCATCAAAACTCAAACCCATATCAAAACTTGAACCCATATCAAAGCTTGCCGCATGCAATTTATGCTTATATTTTATGCTTCATGGAGGTAAAGTTCTTACAAAATTCAAAAATCGTGTGTCAATTTATTGTGCAAAATCAAATTGATTTTGAAGTTCGATCCCCTAAATTTTGATTAATTGGAACATTTTTGGTTATGGAGTCATATTTTCAGTATTTGGAACATTCTTGACGACTTTCCATGTCGTCATTGTATTTGATTTACATGCTTTCACATTATATACAACAATGTCTAGAATTGAAGGACCTAAGCTAGATTTGAAGACAAAAATCTCTCTTTGTATTTTTGTTTTAAAATTTCATAAGTAGCCTTCTGCACTCAACAATCAGGATATTCAACATGTTAGCTAACGTATATCGACTACGAGTCTCTTAGTGCATCTTATTTCAGCATATATCCATTTATTTTGTTGACTCGAGTCTTATCTTAACTTTCTGATTGTTACTGATTCTTTGATTCTTTTATCATGAATCCAACAGATAGATGAAAATGTACGAAGGGAAATTATTAACCACATATCACTTAGGCATCCCAACATCGTCATATTCAAAGAGTTTTTGTTCATCCTCAAAAATAATGTTTTGAAGTTGTGGCTATGTTGAGAACTGGGGTTCTTAATTATGAGCTTTCACTTGATCTCCAGGTCATTTTGATACCAACACATCTGCCTATTGACCTATTGTAATGGAATATGCAACTGGAGGAGAGTTGTTTGAACAGATATGTAATGCAGGTCGGTTCCCTAAAGATGAGGTTCATTCCTAATGCATTCGCTTCAACTTGTATCTATGATTTGCTTTTGTGTGAAAGCATCAATGGTTCTTGGGTTACAGGCACGTTCTTCTTCCACCAACTCATATCAGGAGTCAGTTCTATCATAATATGGTATTAATAGTTTTGTTTCTATACAAATGCTTCCTCGATATATATTATGTGTGATGTGTTTTGTTAAAGATGTATTTATGCTTTTGTAGCAAATATGTCATCGTGACTTGAAACTCGAGAACACCCGTTTAGATGGTAGCCCAGCTCCTTGGCTAAAGATTTGTGATTTTGGGTATTCCAAGGTACAAAGCATCCTATTTTTCTTTCGGTTGATATATTTTTCTATGCGATTCCTATACTCTTGTCTCAAACAATATTATATTGTTGTTTTGTTCATTATTTTATGAAACTTAAAAAACTTATGTTGATTTGTAAATACCAAAGTGCAACTTCTTTGTATATGGGCTTTATGTAGGTCAATAGGCAACAATATCAAGCGAACTCAAAAGTTCAACTCCTTGTTGATCCTAACAAAAAGATGAAACAACTTACTGGTGTTTCTTGCTTCTCCATGCGATCTTGGGGTTCTAACTTCTAATCACTGAATCCCTTGATTGTTTTGGTCAGTCATTTGTGCTGCATTCGCAACCAAAATCTACTGTTGGAACGCTTGCATATATTTATCCAGAAGTTCTGCTTAAGAAAGAATATGATGGCAAGGCATATGCGTTCTTTCTTTATGTAAAAACCATATTCCATTGGTCTAAATTGATCTAAAAAGCACATTACATTGATCTAAAAAACCATATGCTAGGAGGAGGGGGGGTTAAATTGATCTAAAAACCATATTACATTCATTGCAGATGTAGATACTTTACATTAGGGGTGCTCATGGGTTGGGTTGATCGGGTTGAAGACATTTGAACAACCCTACCCAATGCTTGCAGTTTGAAAAGTCTTAACCCAACCCAACCCAAACCAAAGTGTAACCCAACCCAACCCAAACCGTACGGGTTGGTCGGGTTGATACTTTAGTACATTAAAATATTCTTCTAAACTTGAATATATTATTTTCGTACTCATAATTTATTTTTCA